ATAAACTGATCTCATGTTAGTGCCTGCTGCTCATTGCACCTCTGTGCTGGGGACGGAGTGCGGGAGGGAACAATAGGCTCTACCAGACGGTGATCAGCCCAGTCTTCCAGTACTAGAGACTGCAAAGGAAGGGGTAAGAACCCCCGCTGTAGCAGACGGATGATAATCTGCGACACCCGCCCCCTGTTGCCGGCCCAGATGGGCCCCGAGGGGGCAACAGGGTTCGTTGCCCGGTGTGCGCCGCACCAATAGACACATCAGGGGTGGAGAAGCAAACAAAGTTGATTTGAGATCTCAAAGTGGTGCAGGGAGACAGGCACGTCTCAAATCAAGCACAGAACATACAAGCAAGTGTTCCCTTTTATATTCCAAGCTGTTTGTGTGTAAGCTTTGTTCTGTTTTCTCCCTCAGACTTCTCCCTACCCAATAGCAGTTACAGCAGGTACACATTGGGCATGTTAGAAACTTTCCACTTCACATGCTTATCTTTGACCTTGCAAGCTCTACGCACTAGGCCTTTCCCTCCCACTTTTCCCCTGCATTATCACTACCGTTTCTGTTAGTGCGAGCAAAACTGCAGCTGTCTGCTAGAAAAGCTGACCGTTACATATTCTGCTTCAGCATAGGCTGTTAGCATGGAGGTAGGTTAAAGTTCACAAGATGGAGTTACTGTGGCTCACTTAGACCCAGAGCAGGGAGGTTTCATCGGCACTTATGGCCTTCCACCCCCTCCCCGAGTTACCTGGTAGCTATGCCTAGTGACACCAACACTCCCCCCCGTGAAGGTCTCATCCTGCTCTTTAATGGTCAGTGATCAGCTTAGTTCCTGAAGCAGGAGGTTGAATAACCCTTCCCAAAGGTTTGGTCTCATTATTTATTCATAGTCAGTCTGGCTGTTCTTGAATCCACATAGATGTCCAATCCCTCTAGATTCACAGATTCCAAGCCCAGCAGGGACCACTGTCTCTTGATCTCAGTGAAATCCTGTTGCAGGGAGTTCCACAGGCCGAGCACACGCTGGGTAGTAAAGCATTTCCTTTGATCAGTTTTGAAATTCCTGCCTTTAATTTGTGGGAAGGAAAGTGAAGAAAATAAAACCCAGGGAAGCAAAGTCAGGATCAGAGCTGCAAGAACCACTCCAAGCCACTGTGATCCTGGCAACTGCCCCTTCCCTGGCCTCAGGGGCTGTTTGCAAACACGGGGGGCAAGTGCTCAGTCTTAGTGACTCTCCAGCTCCTCAGCAGATAGATTCCTATTGGGGGTGAGATGCAGGAGGATCTGATGGCCGACCGGGGCCCCATCCGGTGCAGCGGCTCTGGCTGGGAGGCCTGGAGCCCCCAGCTCAGAGCAGCGTCTCACGCCTGCCACCCCTGCACACACCCCAGCTGGCTGGGGGACATTGGTGCCGGCCAGCCTGAGACGAGCTCAGACAGTGAGTGATGGAGAAGCACCAGGCACTTTAGGGGATGAGGAATGGAGCAGTGCAGGAGGAACTGCATAGTCCATTGGCTGAGAGGGACAGTGCAGGGAGCTCATTGGATGGGAGGGACAGTCCAGGTAAGGCACTGGCTGAGAAGAGACAGAAAGGGTAGCTCATTGGTTAAGAAGGGACAGTGAAGGTAACCCATTGGCTGAGAAGAGACAGCAAGGGTAGCTCATTGGTTAAGAAGGGACAGTGAAGGTAACCCATTGGCTGAGAAGAGACAGCAAGGGTAGCTCATTGGTTAAGAAGGGACACTGCAGGGAGTTTGTTGGCTGAGGACTTTTATGCCTTGTATCTCAAAGTTCTTTTCATGTCCTATAAAGCCCGGTCAGATTCCATCCCCTGGGCTGCTGGAGCCAGACCCCTGGGCTGGGGGTGATGGTGGGTGGCAGCCCTGGGCAAGGGCAGAGATGGGCCATGGCTCCGAATTTCAAAAGTGCTCAGCCCCCAGCAGGTTCCATTGAGAATAACAGGCGGGAGAGCCTCCATTGTTCTCACTGGGGTGGGGAGCTGCCATTGTTCTCACTGGGGTGGGGGGCTCCATTGTTCTCAGTGTGGAGGGAGAGCCTCCATTGTTCTCAGTGGGGGGAGCCGGCCATTGTTCTCACTAGGGAGGA